GATTGATAAGCATTCTCCCCTTCGGTTCATTCTTGGATTCCTGACCTGAATCCAGAATGCTTCGAGAGTTTTTCGCGCGGAAAGTTGGTCTTCGCGCTCTAAAACCTCTACCGTGACTCCAAAATCGTCTCCGTTGTGGTCTTGTACCCTGTGACATCCTAATGGGGTTGATACACGCAGTCTAGATTTCCATCCAGATGCTCCTTGATCCGCACATGGAGTGGCCTAGCCGTTTCACCAATGTATTCATCTCCACAAGTTAACAGGAGATCTTGTAGACCACACCTGCGACTATGCAGTCTCCTTCCCTGCCAGCAGGGCAAACTACACAATCAGGGGTTACACATGTGCGATCGTAGAGGCGGTTTCGAACTAGGCGACGTTTTAGGTTATTAGGAGGAACCTCTACTAAACCAACAATGTTCTGTAGACCCGATCTCCTCAGGCATTTCTTTATGGAAGTGCTTACTTCATCGGAGATGAAAGGTAACATGAATGGTATTTTGTCCATCAATGGGTTACCTGGTCTACTCGCAGCAACATCTGTTCTAGCTCGCATAGCGAGGGGAGGTGGTAGCCATTCTGCTCAGCAATCTCACGTGCCATTTTCAGTGACTCTTTCCTTTCGCTCGCTCCCGTACAGACTTTTGCGGCGGTCCGGAACATATTCCTGACGATAGCCCGCTTAGTCTGAAGTGGGTGGGCTGATCGAAAATGGACGATGATGTTTTTGTTGCTGGGTTTTCTATACCACCTGGTGAGATAAGTGGACCCCTCAAGTTTAATCTGGACATTGAGAAACGGGAGCCAGTCATTGACCGGCTTCTCACGCGTTAGCCTTATATGTTCGGACTGCTCGTTCATTAGGATGAAATAGTTGTCCATTTCCTCTTGTGTGGAACAGATTACGAAACAGTCATCAATGTATCGGCAATAAAGCAAGGAACTTGATCTAAAACAGGCGCTTCGATTTTAGCCATGAAAGCAATGGCTAAAGTGGGCGCCAGCCGTTGTCCCATAGCTAAGCCCCTAATCTGCTCGAAGTACATTCCAGACCATCTGAAGATGTTACAGCTGAGACATTCTTTCAGCAGCATCATTATTTGATCTACGGAAAGCCCATGCATATTAACCAGATCACGGTGCTGGTTGAGGAGCTCGAAAAGGGCTTCCATAGCAGCACTGTTACTGACATTCGTGTAGAGGGCTTCTACGTCAAAGGACTCCATGACGCTGGAGCTGTTTGGATGTGCTCTAGCGAGGTGGTTCAGGAACATCTGAGTGTTGAGAGGTGTGACGGTATGTATCGAAGCAACTGTGTCAGAATAGTGTTGAGGAACCACGCGATCCTATCAGTAGGTCCTCCTACACAGCTGATGATTGGTCTAACTTTAACCGTCGCAGGACTAACTGTGGTCAGGTCTTCCGCGGCCGAGAACTTGTGTGTTTTTATGAGCAGATATAGAACAGGACAACAAGGTGTATCAAGCTTGAGGCGTTTAATCAAGTTAGAGCCAAATCCTGCTGATTTCGCCACCGTCACCCATGCCCGATTCAGCTTGCGGGATTGCGATTGGAATTCTTTAGCTGAAGATGGTCGGTAGAGGGAGGAATCTCCGAGATGTCGCATTGTTATGTCGTGGTCAAGCTGGCGAGGAATTACCGCAATTAATAGTGTCACTTCTACTTTTACACAGCCGAAAGGGTTCACCTAATTCTCCTGTAGATTAGGCAAGAACCCTACAGTTGTTTCTTTGCACTTTCCAGCGTTAACTGTTTTACCATTTGAAAATAGCACCTCAGAGCGGTGTTATATTCATGCACTAAACATGAAAATACTGCTATTTTGCCGAGGAGGGAGCAGCAGAGCGGATGAGTCATCGCTCGCCGCGAGCTGCGTGGTCCCCCCCCCCCCCCCAAATACGTTAGCACCCACACTTTTCCAACTTTCTCCTCCTAAGCTCCTTTGAAGCTGACTTTTCCTATTCCTTTTCTTGCAAGAATTTTTTGAAGCGCAGTGGTGGGTGGAGGTGTAGTTTTTGCTAACAAAGTTTCTTCGCTTACTTCCCTTACATTCCGTGATGCGAGTTTGAATAATGAAAAATGCTATGTTTCTATAAAAGAAAATTGTAGCCTATTTGTGCCAATAGTGTCAAAATCTCATAGATCCGCTTTCTTTCGATTTCAAATGCCTCCCATGCTTTTGTTTTTTTTTCTGGTCTGACAAACAGACTAATTGCAAAGAACTGTTTTCCTATTCACCATTTTATTGTCGTGAATTCGGAAGCAATGGATGGTAGACTGTGATTTATCTTGCATGCGTATGTAAAAACAAAACATATGGATCCTTTTCTTGATCTAAGGACCTTTTATATGTTCGCTTTGACCTGCTCAACAATTGCCCCTCTCATACTGCTTGTTATTTTCTGGAAAGTTGTTTGGTTTTTTCGCGTTGTTTTGACGCGAGCTATCTATACAGATTTTTCTAAGACCGATCTTGCCGAAAGAAAACACTAATGTTTTCGTTTGTTCTAAAAGGCGAGCAACTTTAATCTTTCGTCATAAACAACTTGCCCATTGCAGCTTTCAAAAGCGCCCATTGCAGCTTTCAACAGCTGCAGTTTGCAAAGTCTGCATCTTTTTTGTCCACCACTTAAGAGGTCCTGAAAATTGGTCTGTAGTTCGAGTGATTGATGAAGTGCTCTTTCTTGCGCATGAAAACCTTTTGAGTATATTTGAGTGTTTTAGCTTCGATCATATGGACCAACTTCGAATAGGGGAAAACAATTAGCGTAATTGTTCTGAGAGTAATTTCATTTAATTCCCCATGATGAAAAAGTAGAGCTGTGGTGTGGAGTTCCTCGCATGAAGTGCTTGCACGTATTTGACCTTCGATCTTTCTGTTTCTTTAGTTATTTTCTTACCTTGATTCGAATGTAATGTTGATGGTGCCGCAGTAATGTTGACCTTTCGTAGGGTTACCCAACATTTGTCGTACAAGGTTAATGGGAGCCGCGATGCTAAGATGAATGGATGTTCTTGAAGACAAACTCTTCACTCACCTCCATGAGGTCCTGGTCTTTGCCGTGTGTGGGGAGACTAGATCCGGTGCTGCATCATCGGTCAAAAGTGCACGGCAGCGAAGCTGGAGGGCGGTGATGCCCGAATGCCGTCCTATACTCGTCCCGTGCTGCCTATCCACGCGCGTAGCTAGTGTAGCAAAACGCGATGCTTGGGCTGCGTTATATTAGGTTGGCGGGGAAGTTCTGTCACTTTTTTCAAATTAGGGTTTCTTTTTATAGAGAGAGAGAGAGGAGTGTGGGATCAAAGTTGTACAGCAATGTCACTGCGGGGTCCTTGCCAGTTTTTGAGCACCTCATGGATGCCATCGCTTCAGAATGCAGGGAGGCACGACGCAGAGTTGGACATCATTTCAACCTCGACTTGAACTTGGGTTTGGAGATTGATCTGAGTTTGCAGCTTGCATTTAAGTGTTAATGAATCTGAACGATACTGGATTTATGAGACTTTCGCTGCTTTAAAGTGGGTGGCCAGAGCTTCGCCAGAAGATCAGCGGAATTACGGATAGGCTCCTCTTGCTAGTTGAAGCTCTCGAAAAACTGTTGTAGATTGTTGGTTAGGCCAAAGACACGTCTCACGACTAACGAGGGGGTGGGTACAAATGACCGTGTTGTCCTACGCTCCCTGCGTCCATCGGTCTAATTCGCTTAAATTACGGAGCGCGTCAATGAGGAAGGCAAGATTCCCGTGAGTCTGAGCATCCGCAAATGTGTCCTTTGAGGGTACATCGTGTGGCCATGGGTTTAGTGGTTCGGCTCAGCTCTCTGAGTTGATCACTTCAGTTTCTACAAGTGAACTCCATGCTATTCCAAACAGAAAAGTTTCGTGGTAATATGAAGCCCTCACCAAGAGTATGACTGAAAAATTGTGCAGGACGTTCTTTTTCCTTTTTTTTATGCAGCGCGGGGCTGCAGTAGAGACCTCGCACACCATAGTTAAATAATAAGCACACATACGGCGAAGCCCCCGTCTCACTAATAAAAATTACGTTACTCTAGCGTTAAGAAGAAATCAGACTTTCCCTTCCAAGACATATAGTACGTCGAAAATTCTCAAATGAAGTGCTCACAGAAAAGACAATTAGGGACACATTCTGCGTCATTTATCATGTATTGTTCCAATGTCGAAGTTATTTTCAGATATGTGAATTGTGTGGCAGCTGCATGTTTATCCTTGGCGAAGAAGTTGTGTGAAGATCATGAAGAGGATGCGTCTCTGTACCTACAGAGACTACGTTTGTCGTACAGTGCTAGAGAATTGAAACGTATGGAGTTGCGCATACTAGGTAAAATTGTTTTTTGGCTAGTTGTAGAGCGCTAGTCATAAGTGCTTTTTTTAAAAATGTTTTTATGCAAAAGTTTCAAAGTTGACCGGTGAAGATTTCTGGAATGTCAGATGCATTATGACTTGATGGGGCATTTCGCTAATTTTTATCGATCGCTGCCTGTTCCTTCCATGAAGTTCTGGAAGTTCCTCTGAAGTTGTACAGTAACAGGAACTTTGTTTAATCGTGACGGGAGTCTGCAGGTCTCACCAATGTGAGACCTTTAGTTTAACAGGGCCTAACTGAGGAAACTAAGTGTCTCACTTCTACACGCCAGTTCGCTGCGGATGAAGGGGCGCGTCAGGCAGTATGAGTGTGCCACGACAAAAACCCAGTTCTCTGCCCGTTGTTAAAGCAGGTACACGGCAATAATTGGTAGAAAACCAATGGCACGAACGATATGATACAGTCTTGTCACTTGCTTCAACAGTTGTTTGAAAATAGGTTTGGCAAAAAAATCAGGCAATTTGGCAAAAAAAATCAGGCAAAAAGAAAATCAATACAAATCACATTTACTATTAGATATGCCTTCAACTCAAAGACGGATAAATTCACTATGTGATATGGGCATAGAAATTGCACAAAAAAGAATGCAATGGGCGTGACCATTCTTTCTTTTGTAGATCTCCTTGGATGGGATGCACATCTACCGTCATTCGATCGCTTTCTAGTGGCTCTGCTCAAGTCTATGGGAGGCGAGTGGTTGGTGTCACCGTTGAGGTAAGATCGAAATCGGAATTTTAATTTTTCTTCATTCACTTCTTTTTCGTGTATTCCATTCGCAATAGTAGCCATAGTCTGTAATGGACACCAGACAGAAACATGATACAATTGTTTGATATGAGCCTGGTCGCAAAGGGGTTGAGTCGAGCGCATAGTTCAGATAGTGGGTGCTTAATTGTTAGTTTACATCTTGTGCAGGATCTTCCATCCTTCCTTGTCTTGCTAGTCAATTTTGAGTAATGTCATATTCTAAAGTCACATACTGTGTTGTGGAGACGTTCCATCTCCACAGTTCCACAAGAAAGCACTTGTAAATCGCGCCACCTTTCTCCGGAAAATAATTTTTGCTTTAATGTGATAATCATTTGACATTTCTTCTATAGAGCCCATGTCGAAGCGATTGTGTGCGATTCATCGGTGATGTCGCAGTTTGCTCCATCGACACTTGCGCTTGCCGTAGTGAGTCTTCTGGTAGAGGCGACGAGCAAACAGTGGATGCCGGCGATTCAGACACAGGTCAAATTGTGCAAGGTACGTAGAAATCTGGACTTTTCTCACATTTCCCCCACACATTCATTCTACGATTTTGACCATTTTTCATCTAAACGAGACTCCATGTCTTTTCAGACCGACCCCTGTGAGCTTCTCCGTTGCCGTGAACGTCTGTCTAGTATCTGGTCGCGCACATTGGTTCCATCCCTGTCTCCTTTTGAATTGTTGTCACCGCCACTTGAACCACCAACGACTGTAACGACAACATCGTGCCGCGGACCATCGCTGGTTGTTACCGCGAGTCCAGGCGGCAAGACCACTACCACCAGTTCTGCCAACGAGGTGATCACCTCACCCTGTGCACCGCAACCCACACCGTGCTGAAATGTGAGTTTTTCTTCTCTCGCTTTTGTTTCGTAGTTTCGTCCTTATGACAGTGTACTTACTATTGGTTTTCCTTCCAGTTATTTCGAAATCTACTCGCTTTTTGATTCTTTGGTTTGTCGTGCATAGTTTTTTTTCCATTTTGAATTTTCTATCCTGATTAGCTTCAAATGGGTGTTCCAGAACATCTTCGTTGGAGCTAGGATCACTTGCGGAGCGTTCGCATTAAAGGCAGTTCCCGCGATAAAAGTGTCAAGGATAATTGCTGATCAATTATGAAACAGTAGCTGATAAGTAATTCCTCAATGAAGGAAAAAAGCAACAAGAGCCCTCAAGAACACCACAAACAAAATTGCTCCCTTACAGTTACACCGCCCTGCGGTCCGTGGGCAACCCCTGAAATCGCTTTATGGCATTTCCCAGTAGTGGACAACATCCATTCAAAGAAAAGAATATGAAAAACAACAAAGACACGAACGAAAAACACTTGAAAAAAGGAAAAATTCAAAAACCTGGCGTCCGAATTTGGGGTTACGTGCAGTGTGCAGCTTTTGGTGCATGTCGAGCTTTTGCACCACAGAAATTGCATCATTCGTGATTTTTACGCGTTTTACCTTACGAGATGGTTGCAGTTGACTCCCAATGAATAAAATGTGATGAAGGAGAGCAGAATTATTTATGGGCACGAGCGCGGTCAGCAAAAAGTACATGCAGTTCCGATTAATGCCCGCCGTCCCAACAAAGAACAACTGAGCGGCTCTCCGTCAGAGGGCAGCTAGCAAGTGGGGCGGTCCAACTGGGCGGGCGTTAGAACTAGAACTTTGAGCGGCTGTAGCTCGCTCCTCGCTCACTGTGGAGTCGCGAGAGGCAGTATCTAGCTTGGGGGCTGAACTACCTGCACAAGGAAGGACGACCATATACCACTTGAGCGCGGGGCTGTCTTCAAGGGCTATTTAATTCAAAATTTAAACCAGAATTCGCCTGTGTGTTCATATGTTTGTCTGACTACTAAAAAAAACGAGAATTGCGTTGAATCTTTTTAACGGGTCAAATTTGATATGGATGGCACACAGGTCAGAATGCACGAAGCTCTTGTGAGCCATGCTAGGCTCCGCCCAAAAGGGCGCCGCATGCAAGTAATGGGCGGTGTGAAGGACTAAAGCTCTCAAAAGGTCCTGAGATGCTCAAGGTATTGGGAAAATAGGCGAAGATGAGCAATAGGTGGGTGAATGAAATAAGGTGGAGACACCCGCGGTGGTGAGATGTGGACCGACTTGGGTAGCTGTTGGATGCGTTTGATGTCTGCCAGAACCACCCACAGGGGCGGAGCGTGTCCCTACAATTGTTTATCATTTTTCATATCTATGGCTTAGTTCAAATAGAATTGGGCGAATTTTACGGACGGATTGACTGTTCAACGAGCGAGACATCCTCGCAGTGAGGTGGCTCTGCAATAGAAACTTCCTTCTTAGTTTGGTATAAAATTCATCCTTTAAAATATACAACCACTAACTAATGCAGTTTCATACCCTCCTCTCCAATAGATTTCCAGAACATCAAAACCAGAATCATTTCCTGAACCACTGATGTTTGGAAAAGTCACGTAGTCCAGTGCACACGCATAACGGGTATTGGTCAGCTTCACCGTTGCCGTTTGCATTCCAATTCGCTAGAATACTCTGTTGCTTTTTTGAGCGTCGCCAAAATGGGGATGTTCCGAACTGAGTTCTGTTTGAACAATTTTCGAGTATTTGATACGGTGTATCGATTTCAATTTAGTATACTCTCGCTACTGTAGTATTAAGGGGCTACGCGTCGATGTGGTCAAGTAAGCAAACCTGCTGTCTAACAGCCATATAGTGACCCCTGCCATGCACAGGGTTCAGCCACAGGGAACTGCTGTTGCTTGCCATCCCCCTAAACTGCGCCAGCGCTTCATTTTGGAGGAATTCTGCTCACATTTCAAAATGAAAACATTAATTAAAGCTTAAAACATTTATTACAGACTACATTCATCGAATCGATTCTGATGGTGTGCGCAGTTTGCTTGATGTTATGTCGTCCACAAGATCCTAAGGGAATACAATCCTCGCCAGATGTGCTTAGTGGTACTCAGAAGAGAAAAAAACTAACTACCCAATCTTTCCAGTCCCTTAAGGACTCTGTGAATATGGTTAACGGCAGGTGCGTAAGCATAGTGGAAATCATTTGGAGTTTGTCAGTTTTCTGATTTTCTTTGAATTTTCCTGATTAGCTGTTTATAAGTATTTAGTTTCTTTCTTCTCTTTTCCATGTTTGCTGACTGGCCACCGAACGCCCGTGGAAATGTGAAATTAGATTTTCCACTCGATACACGATAAAAATGATGTCGTGTTGTTTTTTTGTTTATCTTTTTTCATGTTACAAACATGACCGACATCATTGCTGTGTACATATGAAAGTATCTGCGTGTAGTTCACATGGGCGTTTGGATGAGCTGACTCGTGTTTATTGTACTCATATACACATTCTGTATTTCTGTAAACTACTTACTTGTTCTCTTGTAGTCTTTTTTGAATTTGATCTGTTCAGTTCACCTGAAGATTTATGTTTAGCCTTGTAAATGGTTGCTATTGTCTAGTTACTAGCGAAGTATTGAGATTTATTGGACGTTGTCCTTTTTTGTAACCCCCCTAGCATTACACTTTTCCGAGCCCTAATGCACTCTGGCAATCTTCCCTCGAACGGACGTGCTCTTTGTGAATAAATTGTTGATCTGTTTGTGATGCAGAGTATCTTGTCATATAGCCAGTTAACTTCCTAATTTGCAAGAGCAGGAATGTCACAGTGTAGCGAACTGCCGTTCCAAAAAATGGTGCTATAGCTTTTGCTTGGGTCCATATAGTTGGCCGGAGTATTATGTTACTTGACCATTTACGCCATTCATTCTGCTTCCGCGGCCCACACAACCGAACCCCATCTGTCAGCTGGGCACGTAGCGGAATGGGGGACCATCCGTACCGTAAGAGCACCATTCAATCGTGCTCCAAGTACGACCCCTTCCATTAAAAAGTTCGGCTTCATCGGCCTTGCTACCTGAAGCTTCCCTGTGAAACTATAAAACCGTCGAGCGGTAGCTGAAAAATCCCGCTGTTTCCGAAACGGTTTCAAAGTTTATTTGCACGATTTCCTTGATACAGACCCCTCCCACCAAAGCAAATAGCTCTTGCAAGAGTTTACAAATGTTCAGATGACGCATTGGTCGAATAGGAACCAATAAACTGCCCGAATCATGATCTTCCTTCTCTCCATGGACTTGCATGCAAAGTCATACTCGGCTCGAAAGGACGTGAGCAACGTATGACCTACTTGGAAGTGAACTGACTTGTTGCATAGGCCACTCGAAAGCATTTCAATGCATCTAATTACCATAAAGTCGGATGGATAACTACGCCATTTGAATAAGTCCGTATAACACCGCCATCGCCGCGCGCACGAACTGAAAGTGGGGGCAATGTAAGTTGAAAACAGTTGTTATTTTGAGAAAACTTGGTTTAGAGAGGGCAGCTCCGAGGAGTGGTACTACTGAAAGGAACCAGTCGGAGCGCCAGGCTGACGCCGAGCTCTCCTCCTTCCCTTAAAGGCAGCGCCCGCGTTCAATTTGGTAAGTTATTGGGTTCAGACAGTGACAACAAGGTAGTAAGAAGATCATTCATGAAGAAAAAGCAAAAAAAACCCTCGTAGGATATGCCCTATATGGGATCTCACAACGAACTGAGGTTGTAGTGCTTCAGGCGAAGCGATGAGCATGTCGGACGAGTTTTCCGAACGCTGGCTTCATGCCAGCACGCACCACAACGCGCAGGGTGGGAACACCAAGTGAACGCGGGCGCTGCCTTTAAGCTCGACTTCCTATATGTGCGCCTGGCGAAGCCAGGTAAATGGAATGTTTTAATTGGCCTGAGCTGCTCATATTGCGCGATAGTGGCCGAATC